GGTCCCAGCTACTCTGGAGGCTGAAGTGGGAGGATTGCCTGAGCATGGGAGGTCGAGGCTGTCATGAGATGTGATCATGCCATTGCACTTCAGCCTGGGTGACAGAGGAGTGAGATCCTGTCTCAAAAAATAAAAGAATTTCTACTGAGAATACTATCTTTTTTCCCCACTCTTTACAGGTTGTTCCAGGCTATGGCCATGCGGTACTGAGGAAGACTGATCCACGATATACCTGTCAGCGAGAGTTTGCTCTGAAACACCTGCCTAATGACCCCATGTTTAAGTTGGTTGCTCAGCTATACAAGATTGTGCCCAATGTCCTCTTAGAGCAGGGTAAAGCCAAGAATCCTTGGCCCAATGTAGATGCTCACAGTGGGGTGCTGCTCCAGGTAAGTCCTCCTTTCCCTCTTTTCCCTCTAATTTGTACCAAACCCTATTGTCATCTGCCATGAACAAAGTCAGTTAACTCCTAGTCAGAGCAAGGACTTCCTTCACAGAGCATTTTGATAAAGTTGACTATGACAGGGTCGAGGGTTGGGGTTGCTCTGTTTTCAGAATCCCAATTGCTATACTTTTCTCAGTGTCATTTCTATTTAAGGTTGACTGGGCTAAGTCCTTGGAGAAAAACAGAAAATTGAGCTTTTAAGGTTTCTATCACCCAGGACTCGTACATGCCACTGCCTCTGCCTCTGCCTGAAACCCTTTTTCTCTTCTACCTTACAGTATTATGGCATGACGGAGATGAATTACTACACGGTCCTGTTTGGGGTGTCACGAGCATTGGGTGTACTGGCACAGCTCATCTGGAGCCGAGCCTTAGGCTTCCCTCTAGAAAGGCCCAAGTCCATGAGTACAGAGGGTCTGATGAAGTTTGTGGACTCTAAGTCAGGGTAAAACTGGAGACTGGGGGAAAGTGACTACCAGAAAGTGAGGAAGCCTAAATAAAAAGTATACTTTTGTTTCAGGGGGCCTTTAAAGACATAAGATTAAATTATATCTGAGGCACTGATAATATGTTTGAGGTTAAAATATAAATTAAGACTTTAAAAGATGAAAAATGATCCCTTCTTCCCTAATCAGCTCCCTTCCCCTGCCTGGTATGAGTTGCCCATCACAGGGGTGGTCCTGGAGGATGACGAGGACTAATGCCTGTGGTATGAGTAGGTTTGGCCCCCTCACTATCTCTAGAGTGAGAATCTGCCTCCTGTTTCCATGGGTCAAAGCCAGTTGCAGAGAACCTGCAGTCACTTCGGAGCTTTAGCTTCTTCTCTGCCAAGCCCTCAATAAGCCAGCAAACCAGGACTCTGCCCCTTCTGTTTCCATAGGAATCGTGTTGGATAGTCAGCTGTACCAAGCCCCTTGGCACTCTCCCATACACACAAACACTTTCTAGCAAGATCTGTTGGTTAGCTGGACATGCTTTGGCAATTTTTTTATACTATCAAGTGACCATAAAGGCATGGCATTTGTTGTGACTGGCACCCAATGTTTGATTTCTTTTTTAAAAAACTATCCAATTAAGGTCTGGGAGTGTTCTGTTTCCCATTACTTTAATACTCACCTCCTCCTCCCAGACTTTCTACACCTGTTGCACCTCAGGCTGAGGATGTTCTGGACCACCCCTCTTGGTCCCTGCTAGAGACCTCTCAGATCTGTGGGCCCAGTCATTGGGTTTTATCAGTGCTTAATGTGAACTAAGTTTTTTACTTCCATAGAATACAAGCCACTATCCTCTGATCTCCCCACCCGCCACCAACCCCCGTCTTTTAACATGCTGTGTGGCATAGAACAGGGACTCAGGAATGACCAGCATGATATTTTCAGGGTCTTGTCCCTAGGGTATTAGCACCTCTTTTTGAACAGATAATTGATTCAAGATTGGACATGGTCTCCTCTGATTATCAGGTACTGGGGCTGAGGGCATTAAAAATAGTAAACCTCCCTCCTCGTCCCCTGCCTCAAGAAAATGCCTCCTTATTTATCAATATCCTTTTCCTCCCTTTCCCTGAGAGCTCACAGTACAATGTTTGTTTTAGAAGCCCCATTTGCACAGGTTTTCAGCAACTCAGAATGCTCTACTTCCTCTTCTTTGAGAAAGGATTGAGATACACTCCTGCTGTGCCCCCATCTTTCCTCCAAACTCCTGCCTGTGTTTGTGTGGATACCCAGTCCCAGAACCACACTGTTGAGTTGGACACACTGTAAACCCCTGGGTAAATGTCAAGTCATGATGCAAACTTCAGGTTGTTCTGTATAAAATGCAAAATAAATGTTTTTATTAACAATGCTTGAGCCTACTATTAAATAAGGCCTGGAAGAATCTTTATTATGAGGTAAAGAATCTAGCTAGCAAGATTCTGAACTTAGTGGGTTATAAGTAATCTGTATCCATTTATCTTTAGGCAGGTTTGACTCTTTTACCTTAACCAGAGGAAAGCCTCCCTGAGAGATTTCCAAAGGTTTCTGTCCTTCCTCAAGGTTAGGAAGTCCTTGATGTTTAGCCCCTAACTTTGCTAATTTTGTCTAAGGTAACATACTCAAGGGCTATAGCTGAGACTCTCAATTGCTTATGTGACTAATCCAAGAACTGGTCTAGCCCACTGAGAAAGGAACAAACTGTACCATGGACGAATGGGCTAGTACTGCTACCTCAGGACCAGAGCCACTAGAGGGCTCTGGTACTTCTTGGCGTGCCTGTTCTTTACAGCTTCCCTGAAGGAGGTCCCAAAAATAACAAGAGGTGGTCCTGAGGGCATCACATATATGGGAGGTCCGAGACCAGATGATTCTGTCCTGAGATCCCTGCTGCAACTGACCTTCTGAAAAAGTCTATAAATAGGCAAGGGGGTGGGTACTAGGTCCTGGCTTGTAGAATGTGCTACTATAGTTAGCAGGGACACTGTGTCCAAGAGGCCTTCTTACACCTTCACTCCCCCAGGAAAAGAAGCCATAACTTCCTTCTACTCTATTATATCTACATTATTGCCCCAAGAAACAATATAATAAAGCCAAATTCACACTGTTACAATTTATTGAAATTTTATAAAAACTCAGGCCAAGTGGAAGAATAAGGTACAACTCAAGAGTACAAAGACAACTCCGTTTCCGTTCAGTACTTCTCTCCTCAGCACTGATGGTAAGAAAGCCCCTTGCTCTCTAGTAGCCAGGCAGCATGGACTTACAGTCTTAAAATGAGGCTTTATGTATCTCAGGCTGGAGGCAGGTTGCCTTTTCTCCTGAGGAATCTCAGGCAGGATAAAAGTTCCTTACCACTCAGTACCTCTGTGCCAGAAGAAAAGCTCAATTTATTCAATCCTTAGAAAAGTTACTGTCTTCCCCTGGTCAGACACTAAGGTGTCTTGATAAGGCCCAGAGACAACCACATAGTCCTTATTCTAATTCGTAGTGAAAAGGCTGCAGGCATATGGTGCTCCTTCAATGGGCCTGACCCTTTCCTAAGCACCTCTCATTTCCACATCCTTTGCCTTCTCTTTCCCCTAACATTTCCAGCCAGCATAGAACCCAATTTCTGGGGAATTGAGAGGAGAAACAGTATTATGAACACAGACTCCTTTCAAATTGGAGCAGGAGCCAAACCAAATAAATAAGAGAATTGCGAAGGGAAGTGGGGTAGAAGGGAGGTCAGGGAACAATCCCGTGCCTCAAGTCTGGTGCACTTCATGGAACATCAGTTCACGGGGGATGGCTGTTTCTGGACCAAACTTGGTGGCTGCCCGACGCTCAAAGGCAGCAACATTCTGTTTGACAACCTCATCAAAAAACATGGTGGCCAGCTGGGAGTGCAGCAGAGAACGAAATTCAAAGGAAATCTGGGGACGGGTAAGAGACAGTCAGAAACTTCCAGACAATGTTGGATAGTCCCTGGCCAAATGCAAGGGGGGTTACTGTTCCTTAGTGCCTTTTCTCCCCCTTTCCATCTAGTTCTTTGGATCCCCTTAAGAGCCCTAACTTGGGACTGAGCACAGAATACAAGTCTGACACAAGCTCAGACCTGTGGAAACTAACTAACTTGGGAAATGCTAGCTATACTTAAAAGAATAACCCTGTCAGGTTGGTGCAGTGGCTCACGCCTGTAATCCCAGCACTTTGGGAGGCCAAGGCGGACGGATCACCTGAGGCCAGGAGTTCGAGAGCAGCCTGGCCAAAATGGTGAAACCTTGTCTCTATTAAAAATACAAAACTTAGTTGGGCTTGGTGGCAGGTGCCTGTAGTCTCAGCTACTTGGGAGGCTGAGGCAGTAAAATCGCTTGAACCCGGGAGGTGGAGGTTGCAGTGAGCCGAGATCGTGCCATTGCATTCCAGCCTGGGCGACAGAGCAAGACTTCATCTCAAATAGATAAATAAATAACCCTGTCACAGTACCCCAGCCCTTCCCCATACCCAGTCCTAGTCCTCTGCTACACAACCTCCTGACTCACCGAAAAGTCCACAGTGCAGGTTCGAGGATAGGCAGGAATACCAGGGCTGAATCGCCAAATGGTCTCTAAGTGGTTGAAGAGCTTGCCATCAGTACAAACAGCCTAGAATAGGATAATCAGGTAGTTAAATAACATTACTAAGTATAGGATACAATATAAAGGAAAGCCATTTTCCTTCTTTCTGATATTAGGGAAATACTTGACACATGGAGATAAAATCATCACAAGGAAGGCCAAAATAGCACTTTAATATGAAACTGCTAAAAACAAAAAATCCAGTCCATCCCTCTCATACAGGCCTCACCTTGACCATGTGAGGTTTGACCATGGAAACTGCAGAGGTGTAACGTTCCATGACAGGTGGAAAGCCAACCTCCAGCTGGGCTTTCAAGTGACCCTTACGGCTGGATACCACTAGAGACTTCTTACACCAGGGCACAAACTCACGATACTCCTGGACATTGGACACCACTTCATACATCTCCTGCATTGAGTACCTAGGAGAAGAAGAATCACAGGCCAAGGAGCTGCCAGCTGGGTCAGGTTCCTCCTTGCTGTAGGCCTCTAATTTATACCTTTGCCCACTAACCATGCACCTTCAGTAACTAGAGATCCCAAATAAGCCTGGATGAATAACTTCCCAAAAGCAAATGTGCAAATCCTTATGATATCGTTACCTTATATTTTGCAGTTTACAGAATGCTTTTGCATTCATTATTTTGATTTTAAGAGGGACCATCTAGGGAAAACAGAGAGGCTGTCAATTTTACTGGTGATCACACAAGGATCAGATCCCAATTCTAACAATTTTTTAACAATGTAGCCTTAGGTAAATTACCTGTGTCTCCATTTTCTCACCTGATTTATAGGTTTATTGTGAGGATTAAATGAGAAAAATCTATGTAAAATATCTAAGTCAAGCTGCTAGCATGTAGCAAGTGCTCGATAAGTTAGCTATTATGCTCAAAATATATTTAAAAGGTTACGCTGCAAATATTTACACATACTATGTACCCATAAAAAATGTTAAATGGTCACCAGAAAACACCCTGTTTTTTGTTTGTTTTGTTTTTTGAGACAGTCTTGCTCTGTCGCCCAGGCTGGAGTGCAGTGGTACAATCTCAGCTCACTGCAACCTCTACCTCCCAGGTTCAAGCGATTCTCCTGCCTCAGCCTTCCAAGTAGCTGGGATTACAGGCACCCACCACCGTGCCAGGCTGATTTTTATATTTTTTTTTTTTCAGTGGAGACAGGGTTTCACTATGTTGGCCAGGCTGGTCTCGAACTCCTGATCTCAAACAATTGGCCACCTCAGCCTCCCAAAGTGCTGGGATTACAGATGTGAGCCACCGCACCCAGCTACGCCCTGTTGTCTTAAAGTATAGTCCAACCCTAGTTTCATTTCACTTAAGCACATGCACAGCAACCAAGAAGGGAGAAATTAAGGTCGGGAGGGTGGCAGAGGAGGATTGAGGGTCAGTATTGTAGCTGGGGAGGGGGATGGCTAGAGATGAATCTTGCCCACTGATGATACCCTGACATTCTTGCCTGGACATGGTTATTTGGAGGGAAAGGGGAAGTGGAAGGATGCAGGGCAGAGAATGCTTACCCCATGATTCTACGCTCCGAGTAAGCCTTTCGCTTGTTGGTGAAGGGGGCAGCAAATCCCATGAAGGAACGGCTCCACGGTAAGCCAGCCTCAGCCGCCAAGATCTGGGCGGCCCGAGGCAAGAGGAGGCTGCAGGAGGTCAGAAACCTAAGACCAAAGGAAAGAGGAGCCAACCTTATAGTTCTTTGTAATCCTCTATCATTTCTAGGTGAAGGGGAAGAATAGTGCATCCCAGACGAAGGTCGTCCAGACAAGCTTTCCCCCCAGCACCTGCTGCAGCCCGCTAGGCTCTCTCTGGCCAGGGAGTCACGAGTGCAAAAGGTCGAGGGCAGCTAAGGACAGGGCTGGGGGCGGGGTGGAGGAGGATGAGAAAAAGCGGGGTGTGTGGGAAGTGCTAGTTGCTTTTGACTGGGCCTACGCTACTGCTGAAAGCTAAGACTCTAAGGAAGCATCACAGTCCCCGGGGACCCCAGGGCGCCCGCAAGGGCCAAGAAGAGGTTGGACACTCACCCCGAGGACTTCCCTTCTCGTACAACTTGCAAAAGCATTCTCCAAAGCTCTACATTAGCTCCCAGGGCATGATTGCTGCCAGTCCCCGCTGCGCCTGCATCCCAGTATAGCACCCCTCCACCGCGGAACCCCGGGGTCCGCAGCGACCCGGTGCCCTCAGCCGCGATCGCCCGCACCTCCCTCTCACCTCATTGGTCGCGGCGGCGGCGGCAGAGGGCCTGGGGGCGGGGCCGGGCGCGTGCCCGGGCGGAGGGAGAGCCGGCAGCAGCGCTCGGCTGCTGCGCGCGTCCCAGCCGGGACCCGCCGCGAGCCCGCCCAGGCCATGCGCGCGACCCTGCCCGCCCCTCTAAGTTCTGACACCGGCTGCGCCCTCCTCACTCCAAAGGAGGAGCAGCAAGAGGCAGCCGCCTGGCTGGTTGGGGGCCTCCGAGCGCAGGGGCGACGGGAGGCGGCAGCACCTCTCGCCTTGCTCCCGTGTAGGCTGCCGGGTAGGCTAGAACTGAAGCCGGGATCGCTGCTCCCGCAGCTCTCGGTACCCCCACGTCACGCTGTTGCCATGGCTCGGGCCTGGGAGAGGAAGGAAGGGGACAACGCCGCCTGTCGGGAGATGTAGTTCATACCTCTGGCGAGAAAGGGCGCTAGGGTGTGCGTTTGAGAAGTGCAAAGATGGTTCAGGGGACTGAGGTCGCCTGTGGTCACAGGACCCGATACGTAGGCACAGAGGCGACTTCGTGGGCGTGTCTACAGCAGATATCTGTAGATCCTCTGAACGCCGCTCTTAGAGCCTTAGGTTCTCTAGGGGGGCAGAATGAATAGGATAAATGTATATATGAAAGGGAGTTTATTAAGGAGAATTGCCTCAGGATCACAAGGTAAAGTCTCACATTAGGCCGTCTGCAAGTTGAGGACCAAAGAAGCCAGTGGTGGATCAGTCCAAGTCCTAAAACCTCAAAAGCAGGGAAGCCGGCAGTGCAGCTTTCAGTCTGTGGCCAAAGCCCTGAGAGCCCCTGGCAAACCACTGGTGTAAGTCCAAGAGTCCAAAAGCTGAAGAACTTGGAGTCTGATGTGCGCGCGACCCTGCCCGCCCCTCTAAGTTCTGACACCGGCTGCGCCCTCCTCACTCCAAAGGAGGAGCAGCAAGAGGCAGCCGCCTGGCTGGTTGGGGGCCTCCGAGCGCAGGGGCGACGGGAGGCGGCAGCACCTCTCGCCTTGCTCCCGTGTAGGCTGCCGGGTAGGCTAGAACTGAAGCCGGGATCGCTGCTCCCGCAGCTCTCGGTACCCCCACGTCACGCTGTTGCCATGGCTCGGGCCTGGGAGAGGAAGGAAGGGGACAACGCCGCCTGTCGGGAGATGTAGTTCATACCTCTGGCGAGAAAGGGCGCTAGGGTGTGCGTTTGAGAAGTGCAAAGATGGTTCAGGGGACTGAGGTCGCCTGTGGTCACAGGACCCGATACGTAGGCACAGAGGCGACTTCGTGGGCGTGTCTACAGCAGATATCTGTAGATCCTCTGAACGCCGCTCTTAGAGCCTTAGGTTCTCTAGGGGGGCAGAATGAATAGGATAAATGTATATATGAAAGGGAGTTTATTAAGGAGAATTGCCTCAGGATCACAAGGTAAAGTCTCACATTAGGCCGTCTGCAAGTTGAGGACCAAAGAAGCCAGTGGTGGATCAGTCCAAGTCCTAAAACCTCAAAAGCAGGGAAGCCGGCAGTGCAGCTTTCAGTCTGTGGCCAAAGCCCTGAGAGCCCCTGGCAAACCACTGGTGTAAGTCCAAGAGTCCAAAAGCTGAAGAACTTGGAGTCTGATGTTCGAGGGCAGGAAGCATCCGGCACGGGAGAAAGATGAAGGCCTGAAGAGTCAGCAAGTCAGCTTCTTCCCCCTACTTTTACTTTTATTTATTTATTTATTTGAGACGCAGTCTCGCTCTTTTGCCCAGGCTGGAGTGCAGTGGCATGATCACGGCTCACTGCAACCTCCACCTCCCAGGTTCAAGCGATCCTCATGCCTCACCACCTACCCCAGCCTTGCCCCCGCCCCAGTACCTGGGATTACAAGCATGCGCCGCCATGCCCAGCTAATTTTTGTATTTTTAGTAGAGATGGGGTTTCGCCATGTTGGCCGGGCTGGTCTTGAACTCCTGACCTCAGGTGATCCACCCGCCTCAACTTCCCAAAGTGCTGGGATTACAGGTGTGAGCCACCGTGCCCAGCCCTGCCTACTTTTTCTAGCGTCGCTGGCAGCGGCTTGGATGGTGCCCACCATTGAGGCTGGGTCAGCTTCTTCCAGTCCACTGACTTAAATGTTAATCTCCTTTGGCAACACTGTCACAGACACCCAGGAACAACACTTTGCATCCTTCAAACCAATCAAGTTGACACTCACTATTAACCATCACAGAGCCTTTATCATATTCGGCCTTGTTTATAGTTAGAAGCACTGTTCATCTTTGTAGCGTCCACAAGTGGTTAGTGCTGTGTTCTACATTTTTGGGAAAGGAGATTAACATTCCAAGCTCTGAGCTAAGGCTGCATAGTTTTCACCTTTAATATTTATAGAAAGAAGTCAAGGTAGGAAGAACCAGATATTCTTAGGACAGAGAACCATCTTTGTCTGAAAAGTGTGCATTTGATGAAGAGTGAGACCTCATGGACAGAAACCCAGGCAAGTAAATATCACTATACTGCTTTTCATGATTCAAGAAGAAAAAAAAAATACTCTTGGGTGAGCACGGTGGCTCACTCCTGTAATCCCAGCACTTTGGGAGGCTGAAGCAGGCAGATCACTTGAGGTCAGGAGTTCGAGACCAGCCTGGTCAACATAGTGAGACCTTATCTCTACTAAAAATACAAAAATTAGCCAAGCGTGGTGGCGAGCGCTTTTAATCCCAGCTACTCGGGAGGTTGGGCAGGAGAATTGTTTGAACCCAGGAGGCGGAAGTTGGAGTGAGCTGAGATTGTGCCACTGCACTCCAGCCTGAGCAACAAAGCAAGACTTCATGAGAGAAAGAAAGAGAGAGAGACAGAGAGAGAGAGAGAAGGGGAGGGGAGGGGAGGGGAGGGAAGGGGAAGACAAAAGAAAGAGAAAAAATGCTCTTAATAAAAGTCAGGTGAATAAAAGAAAAAAGGAGAAGAAGAAAGAAATCAACAATTAGAAAGAGACTGGGCTAGGTACAGTGGCTCATGCCTGTAATCCCAGCACTTCGGGAGGCTGAGGTAGGAGGATCACTTGAGGCCAGGAGTCCAAGACCAGCCTGGGCAACATAGAGACCCTTGTTTCTCCAAAAACAAAAGAGAGACTAGAATTAGGTGGGTGCAAAAGAATGGTGGTGCCTGCTGTTGAATTTCAAGAAATTCATGCTATTACAGTACAAACCTTTCCTCTGCTTGCTTGCTAAATCTTCAGTCAAGCTCTCCACTTTCAGGAAAGCTTTCCCTGAGAAGCGTTTTGTGTGGTGCTTATGTGGAGGGACAGGGGATAAAGTAAATAAGACTGTGTTGCAGCCAGGCATGGTGGCTCATACCTGTAATCCCAGCACTTTGGAAGGCACAGGTGGGTGCATCACCTGAGCCCAGGAGTTTGAGACCAGTCTGGGCAATATGGTGAAACCTTGTCTCTACAAAAAATACAAAAAAAATTAGCCAGGCATGGTGGTATATGCCTGTAATCCCAGCTACTTGGGAGTCTGAGTTGGATCACCTGGGCCCAGGAGGTTGAGGCTGCAGTGAGCCATGATTGCACCACTGCACTCCAGTTTGTGTGATGGGAGTGAGACACTGTCTCAAAAAAAAAAAAAAAAAAAAAAGACTGTGTTGCAATGCTGTTCTAATTAATGTGGAACAGACATCTGGTCTAGAAAGAGGGTGGTTCTTGGGCCTGGCGCGGTGGCTCAGGCCTGTAATCCCAGCACTTTGGGAGGCCGAGGCGGGCGGATCATGAGGTCAGGAGATCAAAACCATCCTGGCAACGTGGCAAAACCCCATTTCTACAAAAAATACAAAAAAAAAAAAAACAAAGCCAGATGTGGTGGTGCGCACCTATAGTCCCAGCTACTCGGGAGGCTGTGGCAGAGAATCACTTGAGCCCAGGAGGCAGAGGTTGCAGTGAGTGGAGATCGTGCCACTGCACTCCAACCTGGGTGACAGATGGAGACTCTGTCTCAAAAAAAAAAAAAAAGAGAAAAAACA